TCTCAGTAAAATGCGGAGTGAAACGTCACTCAGAGACGAATATATAAATAGCGTGATGTGCTCTGCATGCTAAGTCACTTCAGTCGTGTCCGACTCTTTGCAACCCTGTTGACCATAGCTCTCCAGGCTCCTCTGTCCCTGGGATTCTCCAGGCAACAATACTGGAGTGGGTTGCCGTGCCCTCCTCTAGGGGATCTTCCTGACCCAGGGATCAAACCTGTGTCTCTTACATCTCCTGCATTGGCAGGCAAGTTCTGTACCATTAGTGCCACAAGGGAGGCCCTATATAGCGTCACACTCTTTCCATAATGTTAAACATTAAAGCCAAAATACAAATTCAGAAACACATATGGATTCAACATGTGTGTGTGCATGCTAAGTCACTTGAGTAGTGTCTGTCTCTTTTGCAACCCCATGGACTATAGCCCGCCAGGCTCCTCTGTCCATGGGGATTCTCCAGGCAAGAATACTGGAGTGGGTTGTCATGCCCGCCTCCAGGGGATCTTCCCAACCAAGGTTCAATAAATCTGCACAAAATGGCAAGAAAAGAAAGGCTCTCCCAGGACTGAGGGTGAAGCTGCCTCTGAACATGGCAGGGATGGGTGGGTGGGCCTCAGAGAAAGGCAGTCGGTGTCGAGATTTCAGCTTTGGTTTCGGGCGGCGGGTTTGCAGGTGCCTCTATGATTTAAATAACAAAGGACTGACTGTGTGCATAACGCACACCCAGCGTGGACCCAGGAAGGGAGCATATCATGAAACAAGGGTAATGATCCCTGACTCTCTGCACCTGGTGTCCATTTAAGACAAGAAGACTGACCAGAATTTACACAGGGTGCCTCCAAACCAGTAAGGAAAACACAGTCGAACAGAAAAACGGAATACAAGCCATTCACAGAAGACCATGAATGTTCCACGGAGACGTGAGAAGATGCTCAACCTTACGATTAATGCAGGAAACGTGAGTGCGGCTGGCTCTCCAGCCCCACCAGGTGGGTGAGACACCCCCACCAGCCTCAGGGGTGGAGGCACCACCAAGGGCCGGCAGACCAGTGAGACCCCGCCCCGCCCCGCCCCCAGCTCTGGACCACGCCCTGCCCTCACCCCAGTAAAGAACAAGCTCGCTGCCGCGGGGAGCGAGCAAGCAAGCCTGTTACTGGCCCTCTCTCCCGGCGGCAGCAGGGGCCCCAGTAAAGCCTCCCCTGAATCTCCTGTCTGGCCTCTGGTCAATTTCCATCGGCGAACAAGGCCAAGAACCGCGGGGCCGGGGTGGGGGGGTAGAGGGAGGGGGCGGGGGGCGTCACATTCCTTTGAGGTCTTCAGCCCCGACCCGCGCCTCTCTAGCGGGACTCAGGGAGGAGCCACAGGCCCGGAGGGGGTGTCTGTGTCCCGGGGGCGGGCAGACCAGCCGCCTGGACAACCCTCCAGACTCGCGTGGGAGCATCATTAGCGCCCACGTCGTCCAACCGCTGTCCCCTCCGGCTCCACGTCTCCCTGGGGGTCGCGGATGAGTCCACGGTGAGGTCAGCACGCCTTCCTCCGTGACCCATCGCCCGGAAGGAGGGAGTGGAGTCCAGGCTGAGCACTGGGCTGAGGAGAGGCACAGGCGTCACCATGACGGGTGGCTGCCCGCAAACCCAGCAGGCTTCTTCCTCAGTGGACCTGACCTGCCCGCCCGGCCTCCTGCTCCCCAGCGGCCTACCCACCTCCTCCCTGCCCACCTGTGACTCGTGATTTTGTGTCACCTGCCTCCTTCTCCTCGGACGCCGCGCTCCTGGACCTCGGGACTCAGACTGGACGGCGCCACGGCCCTCTGGCCTCCAGGCCACAGGTCACGGGGCCTCTCGGCTTCCAGGGGCTCAGAGGCCTCCTGCCGGGTGTCCCCCTGCAGGCTGTCTCTCCGCAGACCCCTGACTAACAGGCCCTCCTCCCCGCAGACCCCTGACTCACACGCCCCTCCTCCCTGGCCCCTGGGCACCCGTGTGCCCTGCTGACCCCTGCCCCGGGCAGCGCCCAGCCTGACTGGGGGTCTTCCCCTCCATCTTTCTCTGGTGACGCGGCAGTCACCCGGCTTTTGTCACCAGTTAAGCTGCCGTCCCTTCAAAGAGGCCGGTGACTCCGGAGCGCCCGGCCCCTCCATCAGCCAGAGGCCCCGGAGGGCGGCTGGTGGCAGCGTCCTGACCAGCCGGGGGTGCTGGGCAAGGCTCTCCCGAGCCCACCATGGCGCCCATGGGGTCTCCAGGGCGTCGCTGCACGCAGGACTCTGATACGGTGCGGTGCAGGTGGTACTCAGTGTGAGGGGCTTCAGTGTTGCCAAGGTGGGCTTTTACTACTAATACATGAGACTGTTCTCCTGCAGAAGAATGAACGTGCTGTGGAACAAGACGGGTCAGGAGTCGCAGCGTCTTCATCCTGAGGGAAGAGCTGCGTCTGCGGGGTGGCCGACCCTGCCTGGACCCCTTGTCCAGCCCCATGTCCCCAGGATCCTCTCCACGTGGGGAGCCTCATACAAAATTCTTGGTTTCCCCCAAAACTCCTGCGTGACCGTCCACCCTGCCAGCGCCTGTCTTAGTAGATGTGCCCCCACTTCTGGTCGAGCCCCCATCCCCCAGGGCCACCCAGGGTCCCCATGCAGTGACCCCAGCCCTCACCCCCAACTTGGAGCAGGTCTGGTGGGGCTGCCACTCTTGGAGCCAGAGCCCGCCACGCCCCCACCAGGCCCCACCGCCTCAGAGCCTGCCAAGCTCCTCCCAGGCCTGTCCCACCCAGGCCTCAGTGCGGGCTCCAAACCTGCTCTGAGGAAGGCCGCCCAGCATGGACCCCTCCGGACAGGCCCCGTGGCCTGGCCGCGTCCACAGGGACAGTCTGCCTGGCTCAGCATCAGGGCCTGCTCGGGGCCAGCAGGGCTTGGATACTCCATGAGGACCTGTGAGCTGATGAGTGAGGGAAGGACGGCTGGACGGTCACCTGGCCGGCGCTGCGGTCACTTCTGGCCTCTGGAAGCCACCTCAGGAAGCCAGGAAAGGTCTGCAAGGCCTCCTCAAACAGGCTGGTCCACAGCCTCACCAAGCCCCAGGCAAAGGGCCCCTCCCCAGAAGCTACGAGACCCTCCCAGGCCTCTGGGTGCCCAGAGTCACATCTCAGGTTCGAGGGCCTGGGCGGAGCCGCAGAAAGCCCTGCAAATGGGCTTCTCCCCGTGGGCTGTCCGGACAGACCAGCCGGCAAGGCGGCCACTCTGCGCCTCTGGGCACTGAGCCCTGGGCCCCGGGTGCCTCCAGCTTCCCAGGCAGGCTCCACTCCCCTGACCCAGGCCGCAGGGAGTCTAGCCGGGGCCGGGTTCCCTCTGGCATCCGTCTGTCCTGGCCAAGGAGAGCCCCAACAGTGTCAGGGAAACCTGGGCAAGGGACACTCTTGGGCCAGGGCAGGGGGGGTGGCAAGGACAGGGCCAGCATCTCGGGGAGGGGGTGGGGGTAGGGGTGGGGTCACGGAGGCTGGAGGGTCTGTCTCAGAATGCCTGAGCAATGGTGCCCGCGCAGGGGCTGGGGAGAGGCCCCTGGGAGGAGGCCTGGGAAGGACACAGGCCCCATCCCGCCATCACTGGCGCACACCCGGTCCCGCCCACGCCCCTCCCCGGCTATCAGAGACTGGACGCATCGAACAGGCAGAGCACAGCCACGTTACATACAAAACTGTAAACACGAGTCTTTAAAATCACAGAGGCCTCCTCGGTCCCAAACACTGAACCAGAGGCCCCCACCGAGGGACCCCCAAGAGACCAGACCTCGGCCCACTCTGTCCTCCCTTGCCACCCAGACCCCCGTGGGTGGAGGCGGGACCCTCCCCGCTCCGGCCCGGGCCGCACACACTGGCCCAGCGCTGGGGCGAGCGGGAGGAGCCGGGGCCGAGGTCCGTGGTCCGAGGGATCCCTGAGATGAAGGCGCGGCCGCCGGCCTCGCGGGTAGGGGCGCTCTCCGCACCCGACCCCACCCCATCCCATGCAAACCGCGCGCGCCTGCCGCCACGCGTCTCGGAGTCCGGGGTGCCCCGGTCACGTGTCCAGGGCGTCGCGCGTGGGCGAGGGGCCGCGGGGGCGGCCCGGGGGGCCGTGCAGCGGCGGGGGCGGTGGCACCGAGTTGCGCTGCGGGGCCGGCGGCTGCAGCTCCAGCGCCAGCGCGGGTGGCGGGAAGTCGCGCACTTGGCGCCGGTACTCCAGGAAGGTGCAGGCCTTGGTGGCCAGCGCCACCACGTTCTTGCCCACGAAGATGGCGGAGACGCGGCTGTCGCGGAACAGAGCCATGTTGGCGGCGCGCGCCAGCACGGCCACCACGTTGACGGTGGCGAGGCTGAGCACCGGGTACAGCATCATCTTCTGCGGCGCGATGTGCTCGCCCTGCATGCTGACCTCGCTGAGCGCCACGCACGGCAGCACCAGCAGCAGCATGTAGCAGTAGAAGAAGGTGAGGCCCTCGGCCCACAGGGGCAGCCCGCTGCGCGGCGGCTCCCACAGGCTGGCCTGCATGTCCAGCAGGTCCAGCAGGTCCAGCGCCACCCAGAAGAGGCGGCCTCGCAGGTCCTCGCGCTTCCGGAAGGTGCGCACGTACTCCATGCGGTCGAGCGCCACCAGCAGCAGGAAGAGGCCGGGCACGCAGACCGACAGCAGCAGCGTCAGCGCCTTGCGCGCCACCGGGTCGGCCGCGCCGCGCCGCGCCGCCTTGTAGTTTTGGAAGATGAAGTAGAGCTTGATCTCCAGCACGAAGATGTAGAGGAACCAGAGGATCATGGCGTAGCCGCGCTTGGCCGTGCGCACCTCGGCGCCCACCCACACGGCCACATAGCGCAGCACCAGCAGGAAGCACACGTCGCCCACCAGCACGATGATGCACACGCCGATCTTACGCGGGCCCTGGTTCTGCTCCACCAGGTACGCGTCCATGACCGCCATGCTGCCCATGATCACCAGCGTAGTCAGGCACACGTGGCGCCGGTCCGGGGGAGGCAGCACCATGGTCGGCCGCCTGGGCCCCGACCTGGGCGCGCGCGGTCCCACGCGAGGCGGGACGAGGCCCTGCGGCGGCGGCGGCGCTCAGCCCTCGGGCATGGCGCGGGGCCTGTCCAGCCGACCCGAGGGCGCCGCTGCTCCGGGCCGGCGAGCTCGGAATCTGGGGAGGTCAGAGCAGACGGGGTCAGTACGCAGAGCGAGCGGCCGTTCCCCATCCCCACCCCCGGCGCGCTTCCCTCGAGGGGGGTCCTGTCCGCGCCCCGGGCCAGGTCCGCGGCCGTTCCCGCTCGGGCGGCCTCGCTCGCGGCGCCGCACCGGGCGGGACGCGGGCCTGCGCCTTCGGCTCGGCGAGAAACGAAGGCGCGAGGAGCCAGGGCTCTGGGCAGGTTCTCCGATCCAGGACTGGGAATCATCCAGGCCCCGGATGACTCCATCCCCAAAGCCCCTCCGCGCCCCACTGCCTCTGCCTCGCAGCCCCGGCACCTTTCCTCCCTGCGTCCGCAGACTCGGTCTTGCCTCTGGCCCACCGTCCACAGGGCATGTGGCCCGTTCTCTTCCGCCCTGCGCGCACTGTGGCCCCCTACTGCGCTGGCAGCGACTCCCGCCCTCTGCACTCCCCCAGCCCCACGCCAGCTCGCCCTGCTCACCACGAAGGGGTGGGCCCCCAGTCGCTCCCTGCCCCCCTAGCCTTGTGGGCAATCTTAGGAAGCCTTTTCTGCTACCGCCCACCTGGGCCACAAGCCCCTACGCCCCTCTCACAGCCCTGGCACTGGCTGTCACGGCCCCACACCAGGCTGTGGGTCAGCACCCCTGTGCCCGCTGACACCCTGAGGAAAGACGGAGGGCCCCGGCCTCATCCACCCAAAAGTCACTTGAGGCTCACTCCTAGCCAGGCTCCCCACCCCTCTGCTCTCCCCCACAGCACCCCTGGCCCCAGAGCTCTGTTTACTGCCCTGTCTAGACAAAGACATAAAATTTAATGTCACCCGCGACTGTGGAGCCAGTGCTTGGCTTGCCCTGGTGACACCGCAGCCCCCACGGCCTGGGGAAGAAGGCCCCCTTCCAAGTGGGCACCTCCAGCCCTAGTCTCATCCCAGCTGCTGCTCCACCTGGCACCCACCTCCCAGGGTCTCCGCCGCCACACCCAGGACCCCACCACTCTGAGTGTGGACGCCTGGAGTAGAAGATGCCTTGGAAGGGTCATCGGTCTAGCCCCTGCGCCCACAATTCCATGAGCTCCTGCCCTCCATCACACACCCACCCTTTCTTCACCGCCCCCACCCCCCCACCGTGTGGACACACTTGACCCACGAAGCTCCCCCTCCTGTGGCTGCAGCAGCGGCCTGGGAATCTCCATCCCAGCCCTTGGCCCGGCCAACGAGCCAAACGGCTGCTGCACCGCGCACCCCACCTCCCATCCACTCCACAGCGTTTCCGCTCCCTCAGGCGCTCATCAGCCCTGGGCCGGGGCCGCCGGGGCCAGACAGACCCTGTCCCGATCGGCGCTCGCACATGGAGCCCCAGCCCCTGCCCCGAAAGGCTGGAGCCAGGGCCTGGCCGCCCTCCCCCTACAGCCGCCGGGCCTCTTCCTGGGGACCGGCCCCAGGCCCTGCTGCCCCCGCCGTCCTGAGCCCGGCCCGGGGCCTCCTGCTCGGCTGCCCGGACCTCACAGACTCCAGTGCCTCTGGGCGCCTCGCTGCCCGCCTCTTCCCTGGCGCCTTGAACGCATCCCTCAGTGCCCACAAGGAGTGGCAAAGGGAGAGGAGAAAGCGGCCCTCCCGCAGCCCGATCGGACGGAGGCCGGTGAAGGGGTTGGGCCGCTCCCGGCAGGCTGCGTCTTGGCTCCGCGGTCCGCTCCGCCCGCTCCCCCCCGACAGGGCCTGGTCCAGGCAGTCCGGCCGCCAGGCCTCACCCCTGCAGCGCTGCCCCTGCACCGTGCCGCCCCTGCGGCCGGGCACTCGGGGCTCACCAGGGCGCCCTGCCCGCGCGCCCTGCCCGCACCTACCCGCCGCCGGCCAGATGTTGCGCGCGCGGGGCCTGGCCCCATCTGGGGTCCCCGCGCCCCCACCCCCTAAGCGGCGCCGGTTGCCAGGGCGACAGCGCTGCGAGGCAGCGGCGCCCGGGACCGCGACACTAGGAAGCCGGGCGCCCCCGGGCTCCATGCGCGGCCCGGAAAACCTCTCCACCGGCGTCACTCGGCAACCCGAGAGAGACTCGGGCGCCCTGAAATTCTGCGCAGCCCACACCCAGGCCGCCGACCAGGGCGACTCTGATCGCCGGCAACAGGCGGTCTTACCGCGGAGCTGGCCCCGAGGCGGACCCGGGTGGCCGCCGCCCATCTGCAGGGGGCCCCATGGGACCTCGTTTGCGGACATAGTGCCGCCTCCCAGAGACCCTGGGCCCTGGGTTCCTCCACTTTCCTCTCCCCGGTCCTCATCTGAGGCCAGAGAACAGGAGCAGTGGGCAGCCTTCGGGGAGCATGCTGGGGTTTGGAGGCTCACGCCGCTTTCCACCCACCGGAGTACCCTCCTCCCCGCCGGCCCTCACTGAGCACCGCCCCCAACATCGCAGACACGTCCTCCCCGGGATGGCGGAGGGGCGCACACCCGCTGCCTGCCTGCTGCCTCTGACGGAGGAGAGCAGATCAGAAGGTGAAAGGACCCCCTGGGTCCCCCACGCTTGTCTGCTCGCACCCAGGCCCGGGCAGTGCCTGGTCCCAAACAGGTGGCCGAGTCTCTGCAGATGATGGGCATAGATGATGTGCCCTTCCCCGGCACCAGGCCCCCAGGGGCGCCCTGGAGCCAGCAAGCCCTCTTGGGCCGTCCCTGAGAAGCATGCGGGAGACGCTGAGATGCTCTGGAGCTGAACTCTCAGGATGGTTGACTGCCGAATACCAGCACCCGCAGCCACTCATACACTGGCTCTCACTGGCGGAAGTGCAGCCAGGGCCTCAAAGATGCCTCTCTGCCCAGGGAGAGGCCCCAGGTCCACGATGATAGTTTCCCTTCCCAGGGAGGTCTCCAGGGACCAGGGGCCTGGATACCAAGGCCACTTCCTGTAGCATGGAGGTGCAGGTTCTGACTGGTCAGCGGGCGCCACCCGCAACCCCGTGGCAGACCCACCCCGGCTGGCTGGGGAGGTAGAGGGGGCCAGGGCAGGCCTGGGTGCCCTGAGCCCACACCTCCCACCGCCGTCCTTCCTCGAGGAGGGGCTGCCGGCCAGGCCTCCCTGCCCACCGCCTGTCTCGCTCTGCCCTCCCCACTCACCCAGGGGCTGCGGGGCAAGTCCAGTCTTTACCCCAGGCCTGCATGCCTGCATCAGTGCTCTGCACGCCACGCGCCCCTCACTGCCCCAGCACCCAGCTCTTGCCTCCCAGTCCTTCATCTGTGTGTCCACACCCTGCCCACCCCACCCACCCCACCCCCTCCCCGGCCAGACCCAGAACACTTGGGATGCATGCCGGCTCCCTCTGGATGACGTGATTAAATCACAGGCCTTGAGATCTGGGATCATCCCAGATTGCCAGGGCAGGCGTTGTCATCACCAGCCTCCTTGTGGGAGGGAGGTGGGGTTCCAGGGTCAGAGAGATCTGAAGAGGCTACAGCCAGCTTGGAAGGTGCAGGGAGTGGCCAGGAGCCAAGAAATACAGGCGCCTCTAGAAGCTGGAAAGGCACAGAAACCACTCTCCTCTAGAGCATCTGGATTTTAGCCCAGTGAGACTGCAGAACTGTAAGACTGAACATGTGCAGCGTTCATCTGTGGCAACTTGTCACAGCAGCAGTGGGTTACTAATACAACTGCCGACCTAAAATCTGACTTTACTCAGAGACAGAGTTTGCTGTAGCAGGCTTGCTAAAGGAGGCACCCAGGGCAAAGAAACGAATCCCAGATATGAGATCAGGGAGGCAGGAGGGAAAGCTGAGCGCAAGATGCAGCAAATCCACGGGGCAATCTTAACAGACTGTTACAGTAGTGATGATAATGCTTAGCAGGACCTCCCTGGAGGTCCAGTGGCTGAGACTCTGTGCTCCCACTGCAGGGGGCCTGGGTTCTACCCCTTCGTGCTGCAGGGAAGACCGAAGATCCCGCATGCTGCAACAAAGACCTGCCGAAGCCAAATAAATATTTTTTTTAAAACATAAAAAAGTAAACTGGGACTGCCCTGGCAGTCCAGTGGTTGAGACCTCACCTTCCAATGCAAGGGATGCACATTCGATCCCTGGTCAAGGAGCTGAAATCCCACAAGCCACTTGTCTGAAAAAACAAAACTTAAAAACAAAAGCAATATTGTAACAAATTCAACAAAGGCTCTTTAAAATAAAAAAGTGGACTGAGGCACATTAAAAAAAATTACAGGTGCTTAGGAATGACACTGTTTTAGAAAACATGAAGATAAAATACAAACCAAGAATGGCCTGTGAAGTAAAAGTGAAATGCAGAGGGCCAGCTACCTGTAGTGAGTTAAGAGGCACTTGGCAGCTGCTTGCTGCAGAGCCGAAGGAACATAAGCAGACCGTAGTGCTCACACCCGTGGGAAGAAACCATGAACTTTTCTCCCTAATCAGCCCCATAGACAAGTGGGGGGGGGGGGGGATAGAGCAGCTGCAGAAATTTGAAAACTTCTAAAGACGGCAGGTTTACAAACTAACTTATCAGTAATTACATTAGATGCAAATGGACTAAACATTCCCATGGAAAGACTAAGATGATCAGTCTGTTTTGTTTTTCTTTTTAAATCAAAATACATACTGTTTACAAGGGAGACATATAAATCATGAGCGTATGGATGGGGAAGGACTGATCATGCAAATATGCACTGAAGAAGGGTGGCATGTGGCATCACCACGGGGGTCTCCGGGCTAGGATGCTCCCCAGGAGACCATTTCTGGAGCGAGGCGTGATGACGTGTCCAGGTGGATTGTCAGGGTGCCTGCAGTTCACGCTCCAGAGGTCCAGAATACACTGTGCGTGTACACACACACACACTCACTTCGGTAAAAAAAAGCCAAAGGTGGCGAGACAGGAAGAGCTGCCCAGGCGAGACCAAGGAGTCATGTATGTCTGTGGTCTTTTTCTTTCACGTCTCCTGGGTCCCCGTTTCGGGTGAGATGGAGTAACTCGGCCGACCTGGCCCTTCCCAGCCGATGCACCTGCAGAGAGAAGGTGGTGCGGGAGGCACCAAGGCCTCTGACGACAGAGCAGAAACGGGCGGGGGCAGGGGGACCAGGACGGGAAGCCCCAGCCTGGTGGTGAGTTTCAGGGTCTTCCTTCTGTGTGCCTGGGCTGGCCTCCACCTGCGCCAGGGGGCTCCGGGAGGGAGAGGAGAGGGATGGGGAGGGGTGGCTCTGTTTGCTGGTTTGGGGCCCCTGGGCAGTCCCACCTCTACACAGGCTGCAGTCATGGCAGCAGGCCTCACAGGCACCTTTTTAGGGGGAGGACCCTCTTCTCCAGTCAGAGGAGACATGGTCCAGAGGGTGGGACCCACTTGCCTTGAGGGGAGGGGGAGAGCCAGGACTTTTCTGTCTCAAGATGCAGGCTCAGTCTGGGGGAGTGTACAGGAGGGTGGGGTGAGTAAAGCCCCAGACTTCTGCCAGAGGACTGGAAAGCGGAGCCCCAGGCAGCCAGAAAGTGACAGAGACAAGCCAGAGAAGGGGCTCCAGAGAGCAACCATGAGGCGGTTTATGACTTCTGGGCTCAGCCCCAAGCTGTGTGTGTCACACCAAGTCCCAGAACTGAGCCTCAGGACACAGCGTTGCCCAGATCCCACACTGGTCACTTGGCAGTGCCCACAGAGGACAGAATTCACACAACACGGCAACGGCTTTGGAAGCAGAACTGACATTGAAACCGCTATCCACACAAGGCTATTTGGAATTTGTAGCTTGAACCCAACTGGGTTGATTGTGTGCTAAAACAAAAATGTCACCATTCTCAATGGATTTAAATAAAACCAGATATTTATGAAATAATGTTTAAATATGCAGGATACAATCCAACATTACTCTGCATATGAAGAACCAGGGAAAATCCAACCAACCCACAAGGGGAAAGAAAATCCAATGTCATCATGTCATAAAAAATCCTCATCAAAATATTAGCAAGTAGAATCAAGCAACAGTTTTAGCAAATAGAATCAAGCAACATAAAAAAACAAAACCACAACCACGAGAAGATTACCTCAGAAAAACAAGGCTGGTTCCACATGGGAAAATAAATCAGTATGACCCACTTTATTAACAGTCTAAAGAAGAAATCACATGAGCATATAAATTCATGTAAAGAAACTATTTGACAGAATTCAGTATCCACTCATGATAAATACTCTCAGCAAACTAGAAACAGGAAAATTGTTACTAAATATAGTAAAGGACATCTCAAAGAGAGAGAGAAAAAACAAATCTACAGCTAATGTGAGTTAATTCTGAAGGACTAGGTGTTTAAGATCAGAAACAAGGCAAAGATGTCCCCTGTATCCACTATTCACTATTGGCTAGCAGTCCTAGCCAATGCAATGAAATAAGAAAAATAAATGACATACATAATAGAAAGTAAGAAGACTCTTTCTATTCATGCATGCATGCGTGCGTGTGTGCTAAGTCGCTTCAGTTGTGTCCGATTCTTTGCAACCCCATCAGGTTTCTCCGTCCATGGGATTCTTCAGACAAGAATACTAGAATGGGTTGTCATGACCTTCTGCAAGGGATCTTCCCAACCCAGGGATCCAACCCACATCTTTTTTGTCTCCTGCATTGGCAGGGAGGTTCTTGACCACTGAGCTACCTGGGAAACACCCTCTCTATTCATAGATGATAATAAAGTCTATATAGAAAATTCCAAATGTTCTACTTAAAAATATCTGAGTACAAATAAGTGAGCTTAGCAAGGCTGTAGGATACAAGGTCAAAACAACTTCAATTCTGCTTCTACTAGAAGCAAACGAGTGAAAACCAAAAATTTGAGAGGAATAACACTTTAGCTCCCCTCAAAATTAAATACTTTGATATAAACCTAACAAAACATGTATAGGATCTGTGTGCTGAAAATTGCAAAATGCTGATGAAGGAAATCAAGAACTTAAATAGAAAACTGTGTTCATGAGGTAGAAGACGCAATGTAGTTAAGATGCCAGTTCTCCAAAATGACCTACTGATATAATGCGACTCCAATCAAAATCCATGGCAGAAACTGTGTAGATATAGAAAGGTCACTCTAAAATTTATATAGAAATGTAAATGTATATAGACAGTAGCCAAGACAATTCTGGAAAAGAAGGGGAGAAGTTGGAGGATTCTCACTAACCAATTTTAAGACTTATCGTAGGGGAATTCTCTGGTGGCCCAGTGGCCAACACACTACTCCCAATGCAAGGGGCCCAGGTTCAATCCTTGGTCAGGGAACTAAATCCCACATGCTGCAACTAAGACCTAGGGAAGCCAAATAAATAATTTTTTTAAAAAGACATTGTAAATCTGAAGTAATCAAAACAGTTGGTATTGTCAAAGGATAAGCACATAGATCTATATGAACAAACTGGAGTCCAAAAATAAACCCACACCAGTATGGTCGATTTTTTAATCAGGCTTATTATAATTCACATACTATGCAATTCACACATTTGAAGTTTACAATTCAAGGTTTTTTAGTATATTCACACGTCATAATCTTAGAACATTTTCATCACCCCCAAAAAGAAGCCCCAGACTTAGCAATCAATCCCCAATTATTTCCCAATTTCGCAAACTTTAGGCAACCACTAATCTATTCCTTAGATTTGCCTATTCTGGACATTTCATGCTAATAAAATCATACAGTGTGGTCTTTTGTGACTTAATTTACAAAGCAAATGAGTCTGTCATTACTTTAGTCTTTTTTATTGCCAAGTAACCTTCCATTATTTACTCCAGATTTATTTTATTATCTATTTATCAGTTGAACATTTATGTTGTTCCCACTTTTTGGTTATAAATAATATTGCAATGGACACTTTGTACAAGATTTTTTTCTGAACAAGATTTTATGTGGACCTGTGTCTTCTTTTCTCTTGAGTGTATACCTAGGAGTGGAATTGCTGGGTCATGAGGTAACTCCATGTTTAACAATTTGAGGAATTGCTGTTTTTCAGGCTGTTTTACATTCTCACCAGCAATATATAAGGGTTCCAATTTCTTCACATTTTCCCCAGTGATTGCTACCTGTCTGTATTTTTTATCACAGCCACCCTATGGGTGAAGTAGTATCTATTTCCTCATAGTTGGAGTTGCTTTTTCCATTGTGGCTCATGATACTGGGCATCCCATCATGTGCTTACTGCTCAAGTGTGTATCTTCTTTGGAGAAACATCTGTTCAAATCCGCTGCCCATTTTTCCATTGTACTGTGGTGCTCTTACTGTTGAGTTGTAGGAGGGACTTCTTTCTGTGTTTTGGATACAAGTCTCTCGAAAGTGGCAGATACCTGTCATCAGCCTGGGGAAGGTCCTTTCCACCCCTGCTTTGCTGACATGACCAGTAAGCTCTAACTAAGGTGTGAAGGTGATTCGATAGAGAAGGGATAGAATTTTCACTAACCGGACATTCATATGCCAAAAAAAAAAAAATCCCTAAAGTAGCCTAATATCTAACACAAAAATTAAACAAAGTGGTTAGTATGTCTAAATGTAAAAACTATAAATTTGCAGAAGGAAACATAAAAGGAAATCTTCATGACCTGGGACTGGTAAAAAAAAAAAAAAAAACCATGACACCAAAAGCACAGCCCACAAGAGATAAAATGATTGGACCTCATCAAAATAGAAAACCTTTACTCGGTAAAAGTCGAGTTCAGGACTTCCCTGGCCCAGTGGTTAAGACTCCACATTCCCAGGCCTTCCCTGGTGGTCTAGTGGTTAAGGATCCACCTGCCAGTGCAGGGGTAATGGGTTTGATCCCTGGTCTGGGAAGATCCCACATGCCACAGGGCAGCTAAGCCCGACTGCCAAAGCGACTGAGCCCACACGCCTGGAGCTCACACTCCACAACAGAGAAGCCCACCATGCAATGCGACGCCTGCATGTGGCAACAGAGTCGCTCCTGCATGCCACAACCAGAGGACGCTCGTGCGCAGCAGTGAAGGTCCAGTGCAGCCAAATAAACAAATCTTAAAAAAAAAGACTCCACACTCCCAGTGCAGGGGGCACAGGTTCGATCCCTGGTCAAGGGACTAACAGCCTGAGTGCCACACAGTGTGACTAAGAAAAAAGTTTCAAGGCATAATTAATTCCTATCTTAATAAGTTATTCCAAAAAATAGATGGCAGAAGCTATGATGAGGCCAATGTAACCTTGATTCCAAAATATAATAAGGAAAATACAAAGAAAAAAAGAGAAGAAAGTCATAGGCCCATTTCCCCTCGAGTATTGATATAAATGTTCTAAATAAAATTCTACCTAACCAAAACCAACTGCATATTTAAATGTTAACAGCATCATGATCAAACAGGACTTCTCACAGGAATGCAAGGGTGGTTTGACTTTGGAAAGGGTGCCGAAGTATTAATATAATGTAATTCGTCTTGATAAAGGAGAAAATCATATGACTGTCTTAATTAATGAAGATAAAGCATTTGATAGTTATGATCCTAAAAAGGCTCTTAGGAAAATAAAAGTGGAAGAAATTTTCTAAAAGTTGTAAAAAGTTAAGTACCAGAAGAGCAGAGACGCACTGTTCTTGACGGGGAAGCCTTAGCTGTGTGCCCTTGAAGACTAAGAACAGGACCGCCATGCTGATTGGTAAGCGTTAGCCAGATGGCCACAATGAAGCTACCGTCACCACAGGATCTTCCTACACCAGCAACCGCAGACAGCGCATCTCTTCGTTTAGAACCTCTACTGGTTCTACTCCTAAGGGTGAACCCTGACGAAGCACAGGGTGCTGAAAGCGGCATGGTACTGGTGCATGAACTGCCCGGAGGAGGAGAAGGGGGCTGAGTGTGGAGAAGCTGACAGCACAAATCCAGGACAGGGTATGCTTGTGTGTAGACGGTATTGGAAACTGACTCACTGCATGCAAGAGATCTGGATTCCTGCCTGATTCCACACACAGAGGTGAACTCTGGGTGGAATGAAGCAAAAACTGACAGAAGGAAATGCGGAGAATATGACACGAGACACAAGCACGTCTTCAAATGCTAACTATAAAAAGCAAGAGGCAAAAACATAATTCAATTAAAACAAAATTTAAATTTTCTATTCAACAAAGGGAAACCATGAGCAAATTTTTAGCCAATGACAGAATGGAAAGTGAAAGTGAAAGTCGCTCAGTCATGTCCAACTCTTTGCGACCCTGTCCAAACAGTCCATGGAATTCTCCAGGCCAGAATACTGGAGTGGGTAGCCTTTCCCTTCTCCAAGGGATCTTCCCATCCCAGGGATTGAACTGGAGTCTCCTGCATTGCAGGCAGATTCTTTATCAACTAAGGTATGAGGGGACAGAATGGAGAAGATATCTGTAATGTGTAAAACCAATGAGGTATTCATATGTTGAATTTTCAAGGAACTCCTGCAAACCAATTTTTGAGAGTCAGCAAACATCAGGCAAAAATCCACATGGATCAATTAATTCAGGTGGCAGCATTCGATCTGAAAATAAATGGTTAGGATAGCATAAAAAAGAATGAAATAATGCCACTTTTAGCAACATGGGTGGACCTAGACATTATAACACTAAGAGAAGTAAGTCACAAAGAGAAAGAGAAATATTAATATTATTTATCATTTACAGAAGGAAACTAAAAAATGATACAGATGAATTTATTTACAAAACAGAAATAGGCTCGGGACTTCCCTGGTGGTCAAGTGGTTGGGAGTCTGACTGCCAGTGCAAGGGACAGGGGTGCGATCCCTGGTCTGGGAGGATTCCACATGCTGCCGAGCAGCTAAGCCCGTAAGCCACAACTACTGAAGCCCGTGAACCTAGAGCCCGTGCTCCAGGAGAAAGGCCGCTGCAGTGAGAAGCCGGAGCACCGCACAAAAGGCCAGCCCCGCCACAACTAGAGGAAGCCTGAACAGAGCAGCGGGGCCCAGGGAAGCCAAAAGTCGTTAATCAATTAATTTAAAAAAAAGAAGAAACAGACTCAGAGACATAGAAAAAAAAACTTATGGTTACAGAAGGGGAAACGGGGTAGGGAAGAATCAGTCGGGAATATGGGGTTGATCCCCCCTGGAGGAGGAAACCGCAACCCTCTCCAGTCCTCTTGCCTGGAGAATCCCAAGGACAGAGGAGCCTGGGGCCACAGTCAGACACAGCAGAGCGACTAACATTTTCACTTTCATGGTATTAAAGATACAGTATTGTAAACGTGAAACAGATAGGCAACAAAGACTTAGGGAAAGACACAGGGAAATACAGTCACTATCTCATGGGAAAAAAAGCGAAGTCGCTCAGTCGTGTCCGACTCCTTGCGACCACATGGACTGTAGCCTACCAGGCTCCTCCGCCCATGGAATTTTCCAGGCAAGAGTACTGGAGTAGGTTGCCATTTCCTTCTCCAGGGAATCTTCCCGACCCAGATATTGAACCCAGGTCTCCCGCATTGCAGGCAGACACTTTACCAACTGAGCCACGTGGGAAGCCATGGAAAAGAATCTGAAATATATATATATATATATATAATTGAATCATTTTGCTATATACCCAAAACTAACAGTATTATAAATCTACTATATTTCAATTTTTAAAAAATGATTTTGTGTTCACGTTCAATTGTGTCTAACTCTTTTTGCGACCCCATGGACTGTAACTCGCCAGGCTCCTCTGTCCCTGGGAGTCTCCAGGCAAGAACACTGGAGTAGGTTGCCGTTCCCTTCTCCGGGGGATCTTCCCCACCCAGGGGTTGAACCTGTGTCTCCGGTGTCTCCTGCATTGGCAGGCAGATTAAGATGGCAAATTCAGTGATGTGTTTTTCACAATTTAAAAACGTCCCTAAGTGGGAAGGGGAGAGGCGGGACTTGTAAATAAAGACTGGGACAGGGAATGCTCTGCCAGCCAAGTGCGTGAGATTGCACACGCCCAGTGCAGGAGGACCGATGCGGCCCCTCGCTGGGATCTCCGGTCCCACACACCACAACCAAGCCCTGGCGCCCCAAACAGACAGCCGCAGTGGAGACACAGCGCCACCAAAAAGAGAGAGAGAGGTTCTAAGAGGAAAAACGGCTTTCCAGGGGAGCCGCCAGCAGACATGCCCCACGGCCAAGAGGGGCCCCACAGACCCCAGGTGCCAGCCTGACCTCACCCACCCCTCACTGAGCCCCAGACCCTCCCCACCCGAGGCAGAGGGGCTGTTCAGAACCAAGACAGGACCCGGCCCTAGACAGGGTGCCCCCCACCAGAGACACGAGAGCCTGCAGTCCGTGCCTCTCCCACGCAGCCTCCCCGGAGTCACCCCGTTTCCTGACCCCCCTCCTGGAAAGGACGCGCAGCACCCCGTCCTCCCCCTGGTCTCCCCTCCCTCCTTGCCCTCGCCCCGGGCAGGCCTGCTCTGACCACCGCTGTCACCTCGGGCCTCCCCACCCCGCACGGCGTGGCCCCCGCCCCTTATGCAGGTTCGTCTGGGTGTCCGCTCTCCCCCAGGTACCAGGGGTGGCCCCAGGGCAGGCACACAGGCACCGCAGCGGTCCTGGCTGCCGGACAAGTGGAGAGTCAGCCCAGCCCCGCCAAGCAGGGAGCCCGGTGCCCGGCCGCACTCGGCAACCAGGAACCAGCTGAGGCCCCAGAGCTCACAGGCACCTTGTGGGCAGCGGCCACGCCCACGGGGAGGACACGGGTGGCCAGCTGGGCCCCGCCCGCAGAGACTATCTCCTACATGCTGCTCTGAGATGCTCCTGCCCACCCGCACCTGGACTTCAGTGGGACCCGGGGACACCCTCAGGCCACAGGGAAGGGCATCTGGGGGCCTGTGGTCCTGACTAGCCAGCCACGTCCCCAGGCCGAGGTCAGGCCAAGGTCAACCAGTGCGAATAAGGCGAGGGAGGGGGCCAGTAGACAGGGAGGCCCAGCGCCCGGAGGACCACGGAGACGGAGCAGCGGGGGTGAGGGTCGGCGCGGGGGGGCCCCGGGCCCCCGCCCTGCCTTCTGAGGCCCTGCCCTCTGGGGCGAGTGGGACCCTAGAGCCGCACGTCCCCAAGGTCACGCGTGCGTGATCAGCGCCTTTTTTTGGCCGCATCACGCTAGGATCTTGGGCCCTCGACCAGGGGCAGAACCAGCCCGTCCTGCAGCAGCAGCACAGGGTCTTCGCGGCGGGGCCGCCAGCGAGGCCCCACGGGTGCGGGCCCTCCCTGCCCGAGCCACGGCTGTTCTTCTCGAGGGTCTCCTGCATGTCTCCTGGGGCGTGCTCTGTTTTCTAGAGGACTCGGACCTTTGGACCCTGGACCCCAGGAGGCCTCGGCAGGGGGCCTGCTGCCATGACCCTCGCTCCCTGCCTCTCCCCTTGGCGACAGTGGGACGCCCACCTCGAAAGGCGTGCCTGAGGGGGCTTTGGGGGGGCGCGGTTCAAATCCAAGCGCCCCACTCCCCCTCACCCACAGGCGGCCCTGCCCGTCGTCCCTGGTTACAGTGAAGGCGATTGTCTGGTCATTCATCTGATCACCTGTTTCCTCTCCTCTGGGGCCCCTGGACAGACAGCTCCATCCGCTCCACTCCAGCCTTGACACAGGCAGGTGTCACAACGAGCTGCAGCTCCGGCTTCTTTCAGTGACCAGGCCTCCGCCTCCATGCCAACTCCCCACTGAGCGGGGCGTGGCGTGCCCACCTCCTGCAGGGCTGTGTCTGTGGGTGGAGCGGCCAGGTTGGCTCCAGGGCACACGTGGGCCTGCGCCGCCCCACGCGGGGCCAGGGGTGGCGGGCAGGGTCTGAGCCCTGGGGTCAGGCCTCTGAACCTGTCACATCACATGCAGAAGGGGACTCTGGTGGCCGGCAGACCAGGGGGAGTGCAGACGTGGAGAGGCAGCGGAGGGTCAGAGAAGGAGCCTGTGAGGACTGAGGTCCCGGGCAGATTCTCCGGGGCCTCCTGCCTGCCCACTGGACCTCAGCCCCCCGAAGAGGCTGGATCAGGACCACGCTCACTTATTATGGCAGCAGGAGGAGCCCGACCCGAGGGGCCCCGCCGCCCACCAGCCTGGCCTCTCAGTCTGGTCCACCTCGTGTTTCAGGATCAGCGCCCCGAGTCCCACGGACACATGGACACACAGGGCTTCTGGCTGAACTGTACTGGGCTGGAGGGTCAGCGGGGGAGTGACAGCCCCAAGGCACTGAGTTTCCACTTGCGTTTCTAAAGCTCAGGTTCCCGAAGGCCGTGGCCCTCGCGGCCTTGGGGAGTCCACAGGAGGCAGGGAGTCCTTCCTTGGACTTGTTCCCATCCGGCAGGGAGGAGGGCGGTGGCAGGAAGACAAGAAGTGGCCTCAACACCCGAGGCGGAGGACCTGGGTCAGGTACCTGGACCCCAACTGCAGGCAGCTGGGAGCCACGGCCTTGGCGGGAGGGCTCCAGCCAGGGAGGGGGTGCAGAGAACCCAGGGGCCAGCCACGGGGTAGGGTCAGACAGGCGGTCCTCACAGGCGCGTCCGCTCACCGCTGCCAGGTCTGGCCGATGCGCCAGAGGCCAGTGCTGAGGCGCCATGGGTGTGCCCCCACCCTGGACAAAGGCCCAGACCAGCTGGTGCCCCCGGGTGTGGGAGATGTGCCAATGAGAACGTACTCTGGGGGGCCCAGGGGCCGGGGCCTGAGCCAACCAGCGGCAGGTCGGGGTCCAGTGCCCAGGGAGAGGGCAGCCTGGCCCAGGAGGCTGGGCCTCGCCTGTGCCCATGGGGGCGGGGCGTGGGCGCGAGAAACCAGTCTCCCAGGACAGGGACAGGCCAGCTCTGACAGGGCTGGCGGGATGTCCACAGACAGATGGCTCTTTGTCAAGCTGGGCCCCTCTCCCTCGCGGCCTAGAAAACAAAGCCCCTCTGTCCGCACTGGCCTCCCTCCCGGGCCCCTGGCACCACCCCCAGGGACAGAGGAGAACCCCCCCCTAGGGCTCTCATCACACACGTCCCGGGCACAGGCTGGCCCCGGTGGGGTGTGCAGGGGCGCCCAGGGCGCACTGCCCGACACCCACCCCGCGCTGCAGGCCCTGCCCATCTGTCCTGCACCTGGGCAGCCCCGGGCCAGCCCCGCCTCGCCAGCCTGACCAGGGGCACTACCCGGGCCTGAGGGGTGCCCCTTTCCCCAGACAGAGGCCAGCTGGAGCCTCGGCTCTGCCAACAGGCCTCCACGGCATTCCTCTGAGTCCTCACCGAGGCCTGACGCCCATGGCACCACTGTGGGCTGTCACAACCTCCTTGGGGGCACAGCCCAGGCCTGCCCCAGGCCTGGAAGGCGCAGGCACTCTCTGCCCAAGGTGGGGCCCGGGGCCCAGAGCCTGCGCCGCTGAGGATGGATCCTGCCCATCCAAGGCCCAGCCCGGACACGGGGGCGCCTGCGGCACTCAGTGTGCGGGCGGCGGGACCCAGATGAGGCCGGGCCGCACTCCCACCAGCCTGGCCAGCTCCTGCCGACACTGGCCCTGCAGCTGGTGCAGCATCGCCTCCAGGCAGGCCTCCCGGGCCCTGAGCGCCTCCGTCGCCTCGGTGGCCCACAGGCCCAGCCTGCCAGGCACCCTGGCCTCAGTCCTCACCAGCCGGCGGGGCCCGTGGGGCCGGGCCTGGCCCTTGCCCTGCTCCCAGGCCCACTGCAAGGCTGCCAGGTCCTGCGCCACGGCCACCTGCAGGGCCCGCCTCGCGGCTCTCCACTCGGGCCCATGGCCGCCAACCTGCACAGGAGAGAGCGTCAAGTGAGCCAAGGGCGCCCCGTCCACCAGGACATGGCCCCGGGCCCCTTGGCTCTCACTGAGCCTGACCCCGGCCCCCAGCCCCGCGCAGCCCCTCCCGTGGCCTAGACATCACTGCTCCCAGGGCGGGAGGACTCCCCAAGTCAGTGCCGAGGCCCAGCCCCTCCAGGCTCTCACCTTCATCGAGCACCTGAGCCCCAAGCTGGGGGTGCTGGGCCCTGGGACATGGCCCGCAGCCTGAGCACCTCCACAGCCCCGAGCCCTCAAGACCACCCTGCCTGGGGCCCAGCTTCACCCTGAGGTGTGGTGGGGGACTGAGCCTGGGCCTGGCTGCTGCCTTCAGGCCAAGTCCCGGGGGCCTGCTCACAGCCCAGGGCACAGACCCAGGGAGCCCACCCCCAGCGCCACCCAGCACTCCAGACATCCAACAGGATGGCCAGGGTGGGGCACCGGGGAGTCTGGCAGGTGAGCCCATGTCTTCCATATGGGGCAACCCAGCATGGAAGTCCACAGTCAAGTGGTCCAGGCCCGCAACCGGCTCTCACCGCAGCCTGCCAGGCGGCCCGCCGGGCCTCCACCGCCTTCCGCAGCTCCTCCTGCAAGGCCTGCAGTTCCTCCTGCAAGGCCTGCAGCTCCCGCACCGGCAGCCCTGCTGCTCCAGCCCCTGGCTCGGGGATCCTAGGCAGAAACGTGGGCGGTGAGGCCTCCAGGGGGCAGGTGTCCAGGACTGTGTCCTGCAGGGAGAGACCTCAGTGAGCAGGAGGGTGGCAGGCCCAGGTCTCGATCACGGGCCGGGTTCCCCAGCCAGTGGCGAAGAGAGCAGGGCTCAGCTCCTTCCCCAAGGTCACAGAGGGGGCTACACAGCGACCTTTACCCCGGGGGGCCTGGAGGTCAAGGGTGCACAGAGGCCAAACTTCCAGAAGGCTGAGACCCTCTGAGGCGTCTGCATCTCCCCAGGAGCTGGGAAGGGTGGAGATGGGATAGACAGATGTCTGAAAAGAACCCCATACTCGAAACCCAAGGCCCAGGTAAAAAACCGGCTTCAGAGTTGGGCTAGGGGGTGTCCCCGAGACCTCTCTTCTTGCCTGGAGAATGGGAAGACCCCGAAGGCCCAAGGCTGCCGTGGCCAGGACCAGGCAGGGATGGGAGGGCAGGGCAGGGCAGGGCAGGGGAGGGGAGGACAGGAGAGGGGAGGGCAGGGGAGGGCAGAGGAGTGGGGAGGGGAGGGGAGGGGGGGCTCCCTCCTGACCATCCACCGCCAGAAGACCAGCTCCCGGTGCCGCCACTCCAGGGCTGCCTCCAGCCGCGCATTCTCCGTCTCCAGCCGCTGCAGCAGCTGCAACACAAGACCGGCAAGTCAGAGCCGAGCACAGGGCCCCGCCATCGGGCTCACTGCACTCCCACCTCCAAGCCTAGTATAGCAGGCCGACGGGCGGGGCGGGGCGGCCTCACCCCCAGCACCCCCAGGCCAAGCTCACCAGGCCCTCGACCACCCTGGGAGCCCCCATCCCCACCCCAACCACGGGTCCTGCAGGTGGGGGCTGAGTGCCGGTGCCCCTCACTCGGGACGCCACGCCACATCCCCACGGACTGATGGCTGCACCCTGGAGGTTTCGGGCAGCTGGGCATCCTGGACAGCAGAGGCTTCTGGGCTCTGGGAGCCCCGCCCCTGTAACCCCCTAAACCGGAAGGCAGGGCCGGGGCCCAGCATGGAGAACACAGCCGCATGGCCCCCTGCGCCCCGCCCTGCCCCCAGGCCCGCAGGCGCGGACCCCACACCCGCGCGTGGGCCCAGGTGGCCCCTGTGCTGAGCCCCCGCCCACCTGCCCAGGCCGCCACCATCTCTGGAAGCTGAAGCGGGTGAGGCTAAGCGTGGTCCACCCCAAGGGCCCACAGCAAGCGACAGACACATCAGCTTCTGCAGCCCCCCAGGACTCTGGTCCCCTGGGAGGCCCAGGCCACTCCCTGTAGAAGAGAGCCCAGAATGTGATCTGGGGCCCAACAAGCAGCCGGAGCTGGCATCGAGGCTGCCCTGCTGGCCTCCTTCCCCAGAGGCTGCGTGGAGCCCCAGGCCACAAGTATCTGCATGCCCACCAGGCCACCATCTGTCCAGGGCTGGACACCGCTGGCCAGACAGTGTGGGGGGGGATGGCCTTGAACACCAGGCCAAGGGCCCAGCCCGAAGCCAGTGGAGCAGGGTACAGGCAGGCTTACCTGCAGTGAGAACCGCCCTGTGACCTCGGGGAGGGCTGTGGACCTGGGAGGGTAGAGCCACGTGCCCATACCACACACACACATACACACACACACGCGCACACACCCACTGGCGAGTGAGAAAAGCAGCTTCATGAGTTCCCAAAAACAGTCCCAGGGGTGCCCATACCCCCACACGCAGGCCGTACAAAAGCAGATGGGGGACAAGGTAAGAAGAGGGCAGTAACCACTCCACAGCGTGCCTGACCACTGACAGCAACCAGAGACCATTCCAGAAGCTTCTGGGACCCATCCCAAGAGTACAGGCCCTTCAAGTAGGCTGCTCCCAGCTGCTACCCGCAGACCGTCCGGAAACCTTGGGAGGAAGTCAACGTCCCCCTCGGCCTGGCCACAACGCCATTTTCAGTCCTGTGGCACCAACTCGCACCAGCCCTCAGGCGGAGGGGGAGCGCCCCCCCCCCACCAGCACCCATGGAGGCTGGGGTCCCAGACAGCACCAGGCTGGGGCTGCCACAGTCCCCATGCTTCCCCCACCAGGGGACCAGGGGCAGGAGGCCCAGGCCCCGCTGAGTCACCCCAAAAGGGGACCGAGCCAAGGGCATCTCAGGACACCCAGCTGCTGCCTCAGCACCTCAAGGGCCAAACACAGTTCCTGCCCACAGAGTCAGCCAGACAGCCGCCAGGAACGCCAGCCAGGTGGGCCCCAGGGCCACCCTGACCCCACATCAGGAAGCAGACCCCCAGGAGCACGAAGCACTACAGCCAAGACCTGCTGGGTCCATCCTGAGCCTCAGTCATTCTGCCCGGCCAAGTGCCCCCAGGCCGGGCAGTGCCGGCCTCACTCTGGATGGCCAGAGTCCAGCACTAAAGTCATGGCCACGAGCCTGTCCCAGGAGCCCCTGGCCACACGAGCCCCCAGGCAGGGCACAGTGATGGAGGGGGCTCCTGAAAAGAAGGTCAGCAGAAAGCGGGCTGCTCCCAGCCCATCACCAGGTGATACCTGCATGGGCTCAAGGCACCCACACCCGTCAGCCCAGACCCTCAGTGTCTTCCTTCATCCCAGCGTGCCCTCGCCACCACCACGGCTGGCTGCCAGCCACCTGATGCCTGTGCCCTCCCTACGGCCCAGACCGTACCCAGCCACACACACACTCGTGGCAGCACTGGCAGGCCAGGGTGAAGAGAGGGACAGAGGTTGCGACCATCCCCCACGCAAGCCAGATGGTGACCTTGACGACCACCCACAGCAGATCCACTGCCTGGGTGTGCCACCTTCCCAGGCCCCTTCTCACCTTGGGCCACGCCCACCTCGGTCCCACCAGCCTCACCTGCCGGCCGCCCTCAGGGTCTCTGAGCAGCTCCGTTTCGGTGACAGACAGGTGGCCAAGGCTGCGGTCACTGTGGCAGCCACGGGTGTACGAGTGTATCTGAAACACAGCACAGACCCCATGCTGAGCATGCGGGTGCCCCCCAGCACTAGGCAAGGCACAGACCAGGAAAGGGGGTTCAGAGAGGGCCCGGCAAGGGAGAGTGGTCAGCACTGCTGAGGCTGGTTTGGGGCCCACCGGGAGGCCCTGCAGAGGGAGGAGCACCCCCACCCGGCTCCTGCAACCCTGTACCCTCCTCAGCTCATCAAGTGGCAGGCCTGGGCGGTGGCAGAAACGGCCCCGGACAGGCTCGGTGGTCCAGTGAGGCCAATGGCAGGGACACACACTACCTGGGTCTGGGGGGCAGGGAGGTCAGCAGGGGGGCATGTCCCACACAGCAGGAGTAGCTGAAGCCCAGACAAGTTCCAGGAAAGGCGAGTGGAGCAAAAGATCCTCTGCCAGGGGTTCTAGCACCAAAGAGTCCTGTGCTGGAGGGAGCCCAGGCCACCTTCCCAGTCACCTCTCAGCCCAGAACATGCCCTGGGCTGGTGGGGGGACCCCTGTGCCCCCACAGCTGAGCCCTACCAGCCTTCAGGACCCCGGAGAGAGCTGACCACCGCCTGTAGGCCCACACCCAGGAGATGGTGGGAGGACCAGGTGCCTTCCCCCACTGGCTTCCCTGATTCCCTGCCCCACAGACATCCAGCAGCACCTGCTCAAGGCCCCTCCTGGACAATCTGGAGCCCCAGCATCCCACCATTGGGCCACCCTCAACCAATTAGTCCCCAGCCAGGCACGGGAAGGCCCACATCCAGCCAAAGGCCAGCCCCATCCCGAGCTGGGAATGCTGGACAGGCCTGTGCGGCAGAGAGGCGCTGCACGAGCAGCACTACCTTGCCCAGGAGGGCGCACTGCTCCTGCTGACCGGCCATCAGGTTTCGCCACCGGAGCTGCAGCTTCCCCATCAGCCACTGCAGGTGGCGGACGTCCACAGAGCCTTCTGCTTCCACACGGGGAGCAGGCGGGCCAGGGCTGGCCAGGGCCTCACACTGTGAAGGGAGCAATGGTCACACGCTGCCCCTGCACCCCATGCAGGGACCCCAAAAGGGAAAGGAGGCCCATGGGAGTGACCGCCGCCAGGTCTGGGGGATGCCAGGAAGAGTTGGGGACAGACCCTGTGGACACACCGGGCCCTGCCCTGCCTCCGTGTGCTCGCCCAGGCATTAAGGAGGGCAATGCTGACCCCAACAGGGCCGACTAGGCCGATCCAGCTCCCGCACCCCAGATTCCAGCCCGGACTGGGCTTGGCTCACACTCCGGCACCCACCTCACACACGGGCATCTCGTCGCCCAGCCGCACGTGGCTCTGGGTCAGCAGCCGCTCGGGCAGGGGCCCGCGGGCCAGGAGCCAGGCCAGGGCCAGCAGCAGCTCGCGGCCACCCTGGGAGCCGTCGTCCTGGAGCTGCACCAGCGCCCGCCTCGGGTAGCCCTGGGAGTGCAGCACCGACTTCACCCAGCGGACTTGAGCCTCTGCGATAGGAGACGCCAGCTCAGGAGGGCCATCAACTGGAGGCGACAGTGCCCCAGACCCTAAGGAAGGGCCCCACCCGCGACCCCAGAGCAGAGAGCACGCTCGGAAGGGTCCAGCAGGGAGGGACACGGGGACCTAGCCAGGAGGCGGGGAGGGGCGGGGTCACAACGGCGGGTCCGACGGGGAGGAGGGGCGGTGGGCGGGGCTCTGCAGAGGGCTGTCCCGTAAGTGGTTGGTGGGCGGGGCCCTGTGCGGTGGGCGGGGCCGGGGCGGGCCTGGCGGGAAGGCTTACCCAGGGTGAACGAGACCGAGGCGCTGTCGGCGGACAGCGGCGAGAGCACATGGAAGAGCAGCCGCCAGAGCGCGGGGGCCTGCGGGGATCAAAGAGCGACTGCCAGTGGAGCTGGCCACCTCCCCTCGTCCACCCACGGGCCCACCGCGCCCGGCTGCCTGCCCTGCTAGCCTCACCGCCTCTGGACGGTCAAACTTGGCGCGGCGGAAGATCTCGGGGCTGGGCGCGGCGGGCAGCGTCCGGCTCAACGCAGCGATGGCCTCGGGCAGAGCCCGGGCCGCGTCCGCCGGGTCGGGCTGGCGCCGCCGCCGCCTCCCCATGGAGCTTCCACTGGCCTCCCCAGGACTGCGCGCCGCCCGCGCGTCCAATCCCCGCGAACGCGGGTTTCCCGCGCCCAATCGCCGCGCAGATGCCGCCCCCGCTGGGCCCGCGCCCAGTCGCCGCGCAAGTCCCGCCCCCGCTGGGCCCGCGCCCAATCACCGAGCAGGCTAGGGCACGCCTCCAGCTCCCTCCCAATGAGCGGCGCCTCCGACATTGGGTGCTGTCTGTGCAGCCCCGTGCGGAGGCACTTCCGGTGCGTCGAGCACCAATCGGCGTGGAGAGCTCTGCGAGGTCCGCCTCCGCGACTCAAGTGCTGCAACCCCGACCCGCCTTGTCTGGACCCCGCGAATCTGCCCCGCACCTCCCGTTGCTCCAAACGGCTGCGGGGCAACCACCGACGGCTGGGAGGGCAACGCTGCCGGGCGCCAACATCCCCGGGAGCGATCCTCGGCCTCCTCGAGCCCTCTCGGACCAGGCCGCTGCGGTCTCCGGGGCCCCGCTGCGCGCAACAGGCTGCAGACGTGGGGGCCGGCACCGGGGGACGTCCCTCGACCGATCAGCCCCGCGCCACGCGGGCGGGTGCTCCTCCCGACCGGCCGGCGACTCTCCCCTTCACACCTACGCCTGCAGACCCCCGCCCGGTCCCTTCCTGTCCAGTCCAGCCTCTGCCTAGCCAGCCCCCTTTACCCCTTACCTCGTCCCCACCCCACCCCTGCCTGCCTCTGTCCTGCCCCTTCAGCCTTCTTCCTACCACTGAAGAGCGGAATCCTCACGGCCACTTTGGAAAGCAGTTTGGGTTATTTCAGAGCTAGCCTTAAGTCTACTAGACGGCCCCACAATGCAAGTGCCGGGAATCTAGGAGGACTCACGTAGACATGGAGGAGGACAGACACAAAATACTATGTGGTGTGTTATTATTGTTCAGTTGCTTAAGTCGTATCCAACTCTTTGCGACCCCATGGACTGCAGCACGCCAGGCTTCCCTGTCCTTCACTATCTCCCAGAATTTGCTCAAACTCATGTCCATTGAGTGGGTGATGCCATCCAACCATCTCACCCTCTGTGGCCTCCTCCTCCTCCTGCTTTCAATCTTTCCCAGCCTCAGAGTCTTTTCGAACGAGTCGGCTCTTTGCATCAGGTGGCGGTAATATTAGAGCTTCAGCTCAGTCCTTCCCACAAATATTACTTTTCATCCATAGGAAGTGTCAAGAAAGCAAGTGTGCAGAGACAGGAAGCAGGTCAGTGGTGGCCTGGACAGAGGCTGGGACCGGGGTGTGGCAGCAGATGGCCATGAGGGAATTTTTGTGGGCGAGGAGACTGGTCTATAGCTGGATTGTGCTGATGGTTGCAGAACTCTGTGAACTGGTTAAAAAGCACGGAGTGTGCCTAGGTGAGTTTTATGGCATGAAATTATGCCTCAATAAAGCTGTAAAGAGGACAGAGTAGGGGAGGGAGAGAAAGCAGAGAAAGTTCCCCAAACAACCCTAACTTTGGCCAAGCCAACAGGAAGTGTGGTCACGCCTGACTCCATCTTCTGCCCAGTCCTCACCTTTGCCTGCCCCCCATCTCAGGCACAGTCAGCTGCTCATCCCTTGTGTCCACCGCAGAAGTGACCCCCTTCTCTATAACTTGGCCTCTGACCCAGGCACCCCGACCCCAGGAGGCTGTTTCACTGGCAACCCACAAGAAGCTTACCTCCCAAGAGTCCTCCTTCCACCACGGGCATGGGGGCATTGCTGTCTGCCCCCTCACCCCCAACTTCAGTCCCCTCCAGGGTCCTCCTTCAACTGGGGCTGGGACCAGCACCAGCCTCCAGTCTGGCTCTTCTGTCTCCAAGCTCGGAGACCACCCTGGTTAGGCCTGCCCGCCATAGTGCCAGTGGACTTTGCCCAAAGTGGATCCTGAGCCCTTTTCCCTCTGGCCTTCGCACCTGCTGGGCCTTCTGCATGGCGTACCCTCCTTCCCAGCCTGAGGCCTGACACACTCTTCTGCAGGCCTCAGCTCTCTAAGCGCTCATCTGCCCGTCACCCCCAGACAGCGAGCCACACCGTGGGGCCAGGAGTCAGCTGCCTCTTCAGGGCTGCCTCCCAGCAGCTCACAGCAGACTTTCCTGTGCACGCACTCCCCACTCTGCGCTTGCTCTGCCCACAAGCCCTCAGTCCCTGGGCCCCCAAGACACCTCCCTCCCGCCACCACCTGCACTGAGAAACCCAGGCTCACTCAGCATCCTCTGCCCCTTCCTCCTGGGTCCCATCCATCCCCAGAGGCTGTCCAGCTCCCACGCCTCAGAGTTCTCTGAACCACCCAAATCTCTCTCACACACACACACACACACGTGACCCCACACACCTCCCTGGGCCCCCCCACGCCTGTCCAGCGCCGGCCTGCCAGACCCACAGCCAAGCTATGGGGCGGAGCGAAGGCCACACGCAAGGCTGAGATGACCCCTCTGGGATCTTTAGATCAAGTCCTGGGACGGGGCAATCTGCCAGAGCCAGAGCAGCAGTGACCAAGTAGAGGGAACGGGGAGGGCTCTGAGGGAGGCTCAGGCTGACGTGAGAGTTTCCAGACAGTTGCTTCCCAGCCAGTCCTCACAGTCCCCCATCGGGCAGCAGCCACGTGCTAGCCCCTGGGCGTAGGGTGGGGGCAGATGAGGTGGGTGGTGTCTGGGTGGCTGCGCGGAGGGAGCTGGCTCCATCTGGCGGGGTCAGGTAGAGAATGGAGACAAGGGTGGAGCCACAGGAAGTGGGGAGGCAGGCAAGGGCTCCCCACCACAGCACCCCAAAGCTTCTCAAAAGCGGAACCAACTCAGCGATTCACCCTGCGGCCCTCTGTTCCTGCTGACCCATTCCAGAACCAGAGAGGAGGCCTGCACATCTGCAGAGCTGGACAAGGGGTTGCCCACCAGGGCAGCAGGCAGCAAGGCTGGCAGCAGCAGGAAGAGGGAGTGCCAGCATGGCCTGGCGTCAGGACCCCGGCCACACCCCTGCACCGTTGCTCCAGGGATGCAAACACACAGGCAGGTCTTCCAAGTGTCCGCATTTATTGAGGGCACGGGGTTCTACAGGGGAGCCCCACGTGCCTGTGGAGAAAAACCCACCATCGGCCTGGAGGGCAGCGGCCCGGCGGGCAGCTGGAGATGGGTCTCCAAAACCTGTGCAGAGACAGACAAGGACAGAGGTGAGTGCAGGCCCAGGGTGCTCAGACCTCACTGCAGGGGATGCTTGCTCAGGGCCACTGGGCGGGGCAGGGTGAGGCGTGGGGAGGTACCTGGGTTTACTTGAAAGTGTGGCTTTCAGCTCCGCCACGCCCAAAGCCTGCAGAGAGGTAGAGGGCAGGTTAGGGGTGGCCAGGGGCTGTGGAGGGCTGGGTCGGGAGGGGGCGTGGGGAGCATACCTTTGGGTCCGAACATGGCTGCGTAGCAGGGGTGGTTGCAGTAGGGCTTGCCTTCATGCTGCAGGGAGAGAGGCCATGAGGGTCTGCAAACCCTGCCCCAGCCCTTACCCCTCAGCCTCCCGATGCCACCACCAGGCCCCACCGACCTCGGCATGACCCCCGGAGGTCAGCGTCTTCCCACATTTCTCACACTTGAGGCAAGGCCGATGCCAGTCCTTCCCCAGGGAGGTCACCCGCTCAGCTGCAGAGACACAGACGGGCCCGGGGACACGGGGCACACGCACACGCTCACACCCACGCCCTCCAGACGCCTCTGCCAGGCCCCACCCACAGCGCCCTGTGGCCCACGCGGGAGCTCAGCGGCACCTGTGCCCCCGCGGTGGGGCAGCCCCAGTCCCCAGACCTTCCCGCCTAACGAGCAGGAGTGGACGCTGGTCCTCGGGGTGCCCTGAGGGCTTGGGTGGGGCTGGAGGAGGAGGTGCAGGTCTCGGGCAGGACCGGGCAGGGCTCCCGGTCTGAGCCCTCCCCCGCTTCTGCACCGGCGATCGCAGTGTTGGGGCGGGAGGGACCTCCCACTTCCTCTGCCCCCCCACCTCCCGAGCCCCGGGGCGCGGGGCGGGAGGCGGCGCCGGGGTTAGGCCGCCCGGGGCGCGGGTTTCCGCATCTGTTTCTACTTAACGATGGGACAGGGGGCCCGAGCCCCGCGTTCCTTCCTACCCCCTGGAGTCCCCGCCCAGGGCGCGCCAGGGAAGGGGCGAGATAGCGGGACCCGGAGACAGAGAGACCCAGAGTCGGGGAGATTCAGAGACAGAAGACTCAGTGAGACCCGGAGAGAGAGCGGGGCAAAGATGGACCCGACGCAGGGGGCCCGACCGGCACACCCAGGTGGCCACCAGCAAGGCTAGGTGTCGCCCCGAGGCGCTGCCCGAAGTCCCCCTGAGCCCCCGGCCCACCCGGGCAGCCCCGCGGGATGGACCCTGGGCCGCGCTTCCGCGTGGGGCTGGGGGGGGGGAGCCTCAGTTCGAGCCGGGGAGGGCGAGGGTGGGGTGCGCTCACCAAAGTACACCTCCTTGTTGCACTTGGGGCATTTGGGCATGGTGGCGCCGGATCGGGGCAGGTGGCCAGGCGGGAGCAGACCGGAGCGCTGGACTGGGTGGGTCGCGCCAGGTCCGCGTCTTTCAAGGACCCCTGGTCCCGCCCCTGTGGGACACGCCCCCAGCGCCCCGCCCCTTGAGTTCTGGACTTGGACCCGGAGGCCTCGGATTCCAGCCAACAGGCCGAGAAAGGTCATCTGGTCCACCCTCGCCTTAGGGCAGGACCCGGGCCTGGCCGACGGCAGAGCGAGGTCCGAGGGCTGCAGGAGGTCGGCGGGCGCTCTCGCTGACTGGACGGGGCTGGAACCCCGGAGGAGCCCCGCCCTCGCCCCGGACTCTGGGCGGGGGCTCCCCAGAGCGGAAGGGAGCACCCCACCCCCCGCCCCAGAGTGCTGGAGCCCGGAAGGTAACCGCTATAATGCAGATAGATGCAAACGAGCGTGTCGTACCTTTCCAGGCCTTTCCCTAGATACAGGGCAGAGGGCATCTACCATGGCATTCTCAGCCTG